AAAGTCCGGGGAGAGCACATTATTAACCCGAACACGGAAATGCCTGTCAGTTAAAAAGTTCTTAAGGAAGGATGGTAGATTGCCTCGAAGGCCTAAGGAGTGGGCTTGGGTTAAAATATTATACCTCCAAGTTGTGTCATATGCCTTCTCAAGGTCAAAAAATACGGTAATAACTGAGTGGTTATTCGCAAAGGCATTACGAACGTACGTATCCAAGCATAGTAAGGGGTCTATGGTAGAACGTCCCTTACGAAAGCCATATTGACGAGTGGAGAGACTGTTGTGTGTCTCTAAATACCACACTAAATGTCTATTTACTGGGGCGTTCCATCACTTTGCAAACTGCATGGTAAGAGCAATGGGACGATAGTGGGAGGTTTCATGTCCCGTAGTGCCTGGTTTGCGGAAAGGGAGAACAATGGCGGATTTCCACAGCTGTGGAAGAACTCCTTGTGACCAAATAAGATTGTAAAGGCGTAATAGGAACTGCAAGGGCTGACTGATGTAAATGTTGTAGCATACGAATATGAATGTCGTCGGGCCCAGCTGCCGATGATCGGCAAGCTGAGAGTGTTGCCTCCAGTTCTTGAAGTGTAAAAGGCACATTATACTGTTCTTCTCTGAGAGAAGAAAAGTCCAAGGGTGCTAACTCTCTGGCAGACTTTGAGGAAAGAAATGAGAGGCATAGATGGAATCCCTGAGAAATACGGACCAGATGATTGCCAATTTCATTGGCAACATCTAGTGGGTTTGCTATATCAACACCGGCAACCCGCAGAACAGGAGCCGGGTCAGGAGAATATTTACCACTCAGTTTTCGTACTTTTTCCCAGACTGCACTCATAGAGGAAGCAGAGGTGATGGTGGAAACATAATCTCGCCAGCAAGTGCGTTTAGCGTCACGGATGACACGGCGAGCGACCGCATGCTTCTGCTTAAAATCAGGAAGTCTCTTTGTGGTTCTATTGTACCAGTACCTGCCCCATGCAGCACGTTTCAAATGTACTGCACGAGCACAAGCAGGAGACCACCAAGGCATGCATTTCTGAGAATGCCTGCCCGAAGTTTGGGGTATAGAATGAGAAGCTGCGGTTAAAACGGAGGACGAGAAGAGGTGTAAAAGCTCATCGATGGAGGACGAAGAAGGAACCTCTCTAAAAACAGTTAGGTGTGAGTAAAGGTTCCAATTTGCCTGATCAAATTGCCAGCCTGGGATGCGAAGAGGTGGTGAATATGAAGGGGAAGTAAGAATGATTGGGAAATGATCGCTGTCATGTAAGTCCGGAAGAACAGACCAAGTGAAGTCTAATGCGGCGGAGGAAGAGCAGACTGAGAGATCGATGCAAGAGAGAGTGTGAGTCCGAGGATCAAAATGGGTTGTGAGTACCTGTATTTAAAACATGGAGGGGGTGGGTGGCAAGAAAAGCCTCTAACTGAATGCCACGGGAATCACAGTGAGACACCCCCAGAGGAAATGGTGGGCATTAAAATCACCAAGTAACAGAATCGGTGGTGGTAATGACGAAACAAGAAAGGCAATATCCGGAATAGATAATGCCCGAGAAGGAGAGAGATATAAAGAACAGAGCGTATACCACCTATGCAAGTGGATACGGGCTGCTGTATAATGCAGCGAAGTACGAACAAATAGCTGATGGTACGGAATATCAGTGCATAGAAGAAGGGCACTTTCATTAAAGGTCCCATTTAGGAAAAGGATCTGAAGGAATACAATAAATTATAGCCTGAGATGGAAGAGATAACAGCAGAGTGTAATTTTGGTTCCTGTAAGCAAACACCAACAGGGGAAAACTGGGAGAGTAACATCTGAAGCTCACCCCGATTACCCCTGAGGCCGCGTATATTCCACTGTAAATAGGCCATGATTGGCAATGATAAAGATACCTGAAATCCGCAGGTAAGGGTTCCTACGGACTAGAGGGGTTAGAAAAGTCCACATGCGGAGGCAGTGGAAAACGTTCAAGCAGTGAAGGAACGGTGAGCTGTGAAGAAAGGAGTTGCGCAGATGGAGTAGAGGAGAGAGAAGGAGCGGAGGGTGGATCAGTGTCCATTGATGGTTTGGTCTCTGCAATATATTCAGAGATTGCTTCAAGTGTTTCAGAATTCAGAGACGTAGTATGGGAGACAATATTGGAAATGGTAGGGGGAGGATGAGTAAAGATTGGAACTGTAATGGACTGTACCAAGGTAGGGGGGGCGAAAGGGTGGAGGGAACTGGAGAAGCGTGGAAGGGGACAGAAGAGGCAGAAACCTGGGAGGTGGCAGAAGAGGAAAGAAACTTGGGAGGGAACAGGGGAGGAAGGTACAGTAACGAGGAGGAGGGTGAACCTCTACACTTGTAACAGAGCCAGTGAGAGGGGGAGAACCAGGTACAGAGACAGGGAAGGGAAAATGAGGAGGTGGAAGATGGGTAGGAGGTGTTAACAGACCTTTTTTGACTTTTGAGAAGTAGAGGGACGATTGGGAGGAGGAGTCATACGAGATCTCGTCGCTACTGAGGCTTGTGAGAGAGAACACGAAGAAGCGAGATCAGACTGAGACGTTGAAGTAGGGACGTCTGAGCCGAGGACAGCAAAAGAATTAGCTACAGGAGTGACTATGGGAGAGGTAACCACAGAGATGGGTGCAGAAGATGGGATACCAGAAGTGGGGGGACGTTTTGAAACACGGGAATAAGAAACATGAGGTAGTCTCCCTTGGAGGCGGAGATGAGAAACTGCCATGGCATAAGGGAGACCTTCTGCCTCTTTGAGGTAACGGATTTCCCGGCGAGAGTACGAAGGGTGAGCCTCATGACAATTAAGGCAAGAGGGAGGTCGATTGCAAGACGTATTAGAATGGTCATCGGCACCACAGACTGGGCATTCGGCGATAGATCTGCAATATTTCGCTGGATGGCCAAATCGCCAGCAATTTCTACACTGTTGCGGTGTAGGGATCACCTTTCGAACTTGTAACCGATGTCCTGCTACATAAACTGAGGATTGGAGTTCACGGCTGTCAAAAGTTAAACGAGCCACATTGCTAGGGTATCGTCTCTGCCCACGGGCAGGAAAGAACGTAAGTGTCTACCTTGGAGGATTGGGAGATCTTGGAGTTCCAGCTGTTCAAGAATGTCAGTGCCACATGTCTGGAAATTTTGTTGAACTATGGTATGGGGCAGAATGACGGTACCACTACAAGAATTGAGGGAATGATGCTTTTCAATAGTTACAGGAACAGTATCGATATGGGAAAGACGAGAAAGCTCATGAGCCTGGGTAGCATTCTGTACGGTGACGATGCGCGTACCGCTCTTAAGAGCATGAAAAGAAATATCTTTACCAACATGGCGTAGGAGTGCCTTGCCAATACTGTGGTCAGAAAGATAGGCAGTAGAGGAAGTCGGTCGTAAAGTGAAGAATTTAGTCCATTGTGCAGTCTGAAACTGAGCGTAGAAAGGTAGTGAAGGACGTGTTGATCTTTTCTGAGAAGAACAAGAAGGTGGAGAAGTATCATCAGCAGGTAATTGTCGTTGGTGTTTAGGCGTGGGACCAAAGTTGGTCCGACGTGGAACGGGCCGGCGATTCGAAAATTGCCGCACCGTAGAGGGAGAGGCCGGAAGCATAGTCAGAGGAGAGCGAAGGTCAGATAAATCGAAGGAGTCAGTCGAGGCCTCAGTACCTGAAGCGGGTGAGGAAACAGCACCGGCAAGAGGTACAGAGGCATGAGGAGTGTCCGAAGAGTGGTCCAAAGACGAGGCAGGGTCAGAACGGGGTGCGGTATCAAGAAGGGGCCCGAGAGTAGCAGGTTCATGGACTAGGGCTGTCATGGTTAGGTTACTTCTTTCTTTTTGTTTTTAAGAAAAAAAAAGAAAGAAGAAAAGAAAATAAAAATAAAAAAAAGAATAAAAAAAGGGGGGACCAGGGAGGGATAGTTTCTAGGAGGAATGAAAGGGCCAGAAATATCCCTCCGCGCCCAAGAGGACCTCAGCACCGCAAGTAGTGCAGATGCAGCATGGAACCCGTGCCATACCCTACCCATCATGCCAGTAAACTGGCAATCCGGGGTAGCAACCTCACATCTGCCGAGCTACCTTGGTGGACAAAAGAGAGGGCAGCCGGAAATCCGCCACAAAGCATACCTCCTTCGGCCACCACCCCCGGAATCCGATAGGTGGCTTCCAGAGATACACCCGTCACCCGAGATACACCCAAAGCCACCCTCCGGGATACCGGAGAGGGATCAGGACATCCCCAGGCAATCCAGATTCCACGGCAAACTACGCCACCGCCAAGAACCTCAACGGAATGGGATGGACCCCGGTACCCTTTCCCCTACCTAAGAACTAGCATGCCTGTGGGGGAAAAAAAAAAAACCAAAGGCCGAAAAGGAAGGGCAAAAGGGAGGGGTGGGGAGGAGGAGGAGGAAAGGAAAAAGGGGAGGATGGGGAGGATGGGATAGGGAATGGGGGATTGGGGGGTAATTAGGTTCAGTCTGAGGAAGTAGACTGATAGGTCTAATTCCTCAGACCAAGAGCCTCTTCACCACGCCCAGGAGCCCCCCTTGAAGAGGCCACTAGACATAGACTAGGCAAGGCAAGGCTCCTGGGCTTCTCAAGACTCTCTTAATTATAAGTCTCAAAGGGCATGAAGGGAGCCTATCAATAAAGTGGCTGGGTTTATCTAAGTATACTACACAACTACACAGTAACACTACTGACAGCTCGGTGACACTAACTTATAGTGTCCCAACATAGAACAAACTTATACACACTATAGACTGTAGCTCGATCGCTAGTGCACTCAGCACACACTGAGGTCCGGAGATCGAATCTCCGGTAAGGCTGGAATACATTAGGGATGTGTTTTCATATATTGCAAATGCACCTCATTCAAAACTAATATAACCTAGAATTATAACTAACATATTAATTTTAATATAAAAGCAAGTAAATAGGCAAATATATAACAATTATTTGCACACTAGCCAAGCCAGAGTCGGTGTCGGAATGTGAGGCGGAGTGGAACACAACAATGCCAGCTAGCACGGTGTTGTTGTGGTGTAGACCAGGCTGGGACGGTGGACTCGACCAGAGTTTCACGCTGGAGGTGCGCAAGGCAGCAAAGGAGGAGGTGCTGGAGGCCTTCCGTCACGCCTCTGACCCAGTCTTCACCATCAATGGGTGAGTTACCTCACTCATATTCTTCAGCACCAAGATAAAACATGCACCCTCTCACATGGTCTCAGGATTTCAGTCCATAATGTTATATATTTCATGATAATTTTAGTCATTCCCGCCCTTATTTTCTCACTTTCAGAGATTTCTGCCTCTATTCTCTCTCCATTTTTCTGTGCTTTCAGTTCATGACACGGTCAGCTTTTTTCCTCACCCTTTTTGATAAGGTCACTCATTTCTGCCCCTCTCTCACTTTATGACAGCATTTGAAATTCCAGCCCCGACACTTACTCTTCATGACAAACTGGCCCACATTCCTGCCCGCTGTCGTCTTTCTTCATGACAAAGTGACTATTCCCGCCCCAATCCTCACTTTTCCTAACAGAAATAGGTATTTCCGCCCTTTTCCTTCACTTTTCATGAGAGAAAACAAAAACAGGAAATATTCAAGAGGATTTTACACTATGATCAGGAATACGTCAGTGGCAAAGTTGAAGGTTAATGGGACAGATGAGTCGCATGGAAATCATGAAGTATTATTTTAGCCTTAGGAGAGTGGTCAGTAAATAGTTTATAGAATTATTATAAGATCAGGTTGAGAAATGACGTCTGAAGCTTCATAAATGTGAGCTGGAGGAGAGTCATTCCTGAGTCCTAACTCAGTAGAAGGATGTCAACGTATTCTGTTCAGGCCAGATATCTCTACCATATGTTCTAATGATTATTAAACTAAGTCATATATTTTGTGTGTGTGAGAGAGAGAGAGAGAGAGAGAGAGAGAGAGAGAGAGAGAGAGAGAGAGAGAGAGAGAGAGAGAGAGGTCTCTTATAGAGGCTCCCTCATATGGTTTTTGCTATCGACAAGTTCTTGAAAAGAAATACCTGCTAACAGCGGGACATTTTGATGAACACTTCAGGTTCTAGAACCTCGGTCACTCAAAACGTTCAGGTTTTCTAGGTCTCAGGACCGATATACGTCCATTAAATTATCTAGGATTATTTTTAATTTTGAGTATTTTTCAGAGTAAGGTAGATTTTTCAAACCCGCTGTTTATTTACACTGATTCATCTATCACTGTTCCAAAAATTTTAAATTTCACAGTGGATCGGAATTCGGGGTTAATATCACGTATGTGTCGATATTTTTAGGGATATTATTTCATAGTGGGGGAATATTTATTGGTTGATCGATATTCCAAAGTGTTCATGTTCTTTCGCGGAGCAATAAGATTTCTTCGGATTTTTAACTCCGGAGGGTTAGATATCCGGTATAACACAAGTGCGTCTTCTAAGACTGTGTCTTATTTCCATTGTGGTCCTCAATCTTGTCCCTGAGGATGCGACCCACACCAGTCGACTAACACCCAGGTACCTACTTGCTGCTGGGTGAACAGGACAACAGGTGTAAGGAAACACGTCGAAATGCTTCCACCCGCCGGGAATCGAACCCGGGCCCTCCGTGTGTGAAGCGAGTGCTTTGCCAGCCAGCCCACGGGGTCACTATTCCAATATTCCATAGTTGGTGGAAATTCCTTAGTATTTCGACATTCTTTTGTGGAGAGAGATTAAATAGGAGGTTGGTACTCCATAGTTAATTGGTATTTGACAGTAAGTCAATATTAATTTTTGTGAATATTGTCCATTTTGATTATAGTGTTTTTGCTTTTGTATTTTTCACAATACTTTGGCAGGGAATATAATTCTCCGTTTTCCTATAGACTAGGACTTGATCCATTTTTTTACTTGCTATTATTTAATATTAACCCGTCACTTCAAGTCGTCCTGTCTTCTAACATCAAGTTAACCTCTGCGACTAATATCTTTGTAAATCACTGGACTTTTCCAGCTTCTTGTCAAGCTTTACCATATGTCTATTCCATACAGCTGCATAAACCGAGATCGCCCTGATATACACCATAGTGTCATGAATACCTCCTTATAAAAATAAGACTGCCATCCCCACGAGCCCCTTCGAGGCGGGGTAGATGGCAGACCAGAGGCCTAGCTTCTCCCTACGAGCCCCGTGAGGGCGGGGGATGTGGCTAGGCCTGGGGACATTTGGTCCCAAAGATGAGGGAGTAGTTGTACCTCCTCCCATGGGAGACTTAAGTCTCGGTATACTCCTCACATAGGGAGCCAAGGCCGAGTCACCACTACTTGGAAAAGACCCGGGCCGGGAGAGTGCCGGCGAATAAAAAAAAAAAAAAAAAAAAAAAAAACCTCCTTATAGAGGGGACATGAAGGTAGTCTAATATATACAAGACGAACATTTGCTACAGAGGTAATTCAAGTACTGTACTCTCCCGACGATATTCACCCAGAGGTCCTACACGTTGAGGAAAGTCTGCAGCCTTTGTGCACCAAGTGTGTACGCTGTTTCTTCGTTTTTTGCCGAATTTCGTAACATTGTATTTACTGTTTTTAAATTACAAAGGTAACTTGTCAGACATATGCAGTTTGTCCAAAATCTTTTGTACCGTTTTCTAGCCTGTTCCTGTTTGTCTTTTCACTAGTTGCAAGTCATCCTGTAACCTCGGCCACAATATCTACTGTAGGGGAGACTGGGGCTAGCTGGCACACTTTTTACATTTTCGGTGATGAAAGAAAAACAAACGATTTTGGCAATTTTATACTTCCAGTGAAAAATATATATCTTTCTCTTACTTTTAATGTAATAAAAAAAATAATTTTCTTTCGAAACAAAAACACAGCGTTCTTTAGAAAAAATATTTGACGTGTGGCAACATGCCCCATGTACGGGGTAAGTTGGCACACTATGGGGTAAGTTGGCACACACTATGGGGTAAGTTGGCACACACTATGGGGTAAGTTGGCACACTATGGGGTAAGTTGGCACACTATGGGGTAAGTTGGCACACTATGGGGTAAGTAAATAAATAGTAAATAAATAGTAAATTAGGAATATGTAACAGTAAATTTAGATACTGATTATTTATAATGTTTCATTTCAAGAATATTCAGTTCCATAGAAACTTGAAAAAAATTTCTTAGTAAAGAAAGAAACCTTTTTTAATAAAATAAAATTAATAACCATATTTCTCCCGGTTTGCTTTTGGAAAAATGATCCATAAATACCAAACACAGACTGTCCTCTCCATCTGAACTTTCCTCGTCACCATGAACACGTTTCGATTTCTTTGATGTTTCTTCTTTGCTTCTTTTGATATCTTTTCCAGTGTCAATTTCACTGGTATGTGTCGGTCAAAATGGCAGAGGAGCGTTTCCTCCTGTTCATTCCACTTCTCTTCCTGCGACCAGCTTTATGCAACGGCCTCAGTTCTTCGGGAGTTGGGACTTTCTTCCCACAGAGTCCAGAAGTTGAGGGTCTTGGTTCATTGGCAAGTTGATTGTGCCAATTTGCCCCATTTTTGTTGAGCCAACTTGCCCCAGCCATACCAATGTTCATAAATAAATGGTTTTAGTATATATTAATAAACCTAATATAAACTGTTTTATGGGTGAACAATCCTTAAACCCTAAGTTAAGTCATGGCTAAATTGGATATTTCTCATCTATAACCCCATACATGTTGCAACAAACAATATAAGCGAATGATAATTTACTTACCGGCATCAAAATCAAAAATTTCCCCACTCCAGTTAAGTACTGCAACCTTCTGGTATGGTAGCTTGTTGGTGAGTGAGGAAGCACGTGGTGTTCCTATGATGTAACAACAACGCCGTCCAGCGGTAAATGTTTGAATTATTGTAAGTGTGTCAACTTACCCCTGTTGCCAACTAGCCCCGGACTCCCCTACGTCATTTACGTACACTAGAAATAATACTGGTCCCATTACGGACACCTTTCTAACATCTCTTCTCAGACAATGTTGTCTGTTAAGTATTCCTTGATCGACTTCAGTAATTTCTCTGTTATTTCCGTCTACTCTTCTAGTTATTGCCACAGTCTCTTGTGCGGTATTGTATTAAATGCCTTCCTGCGGTCAAAAATATGCAGTCCATCCATCATTTCCCTGCCTTAATTCCTTTACCCAGTCATAGAATTCGAGCACATTTATGAGACAAGATTTACCATCTCTGAAACAATGGTGGCTGATACTTATAAACTGGCTTCATTCAAAGTGCTCCATTACTCTTCCCCTAGTAATTCTCTCCCATGATACTGGCCTTAAGTTTAGTGTTAATGATCTGTCCCTTTTTCTTAAATAATATGATACCACTTACTATTTTCCATAGTTTTCTTAGATGCCCTTTATGAGCTGACTTCGTGAGTCGGCATTTTTCGTGAGTCGTATGAAGAGTTCAGATTCATCACCTCTATCCCAGTTGAGTAGATGGGTAGGGGGTATGTGAGGATGGGAGTTAACTTGGGTGAAAGATGGGAGTCAAAGTTGCTTCGATGGATGAGTGTCGATGAAAACCTTGAAGAGTCTGAGATGAAGGGAGTCTGTGTGAGGAAAGATAGGGTAATGGAATTATGTAAAAGTGAATGTATTTTTTATTCTCTAACAAACTTATGATAGAGTCAGTGGGTGAGTAGTACTGTTAGAAAAACTGGAGCGTAAAGTGGTTTTGCTAGTATATTTATCGTGAAAATGCTGACAGCTCAGCTGGGAAAGTCTGTTGTGTGGAGAAATATAAGAGATGAAAGAGGGCGAAGTTGTAGGAATGGCAGATGGCGAAAATACTAGAGGTTAGAAAGGCTAGAGGTGGGGTTCAACACAGGGATTAACTCTGGTTGAAGTTCTACAAGATGCCGTAAGCATCGGGTATCCCTGGTGCATGATAGCTCTGGCATACTTCCCTGGAGACAAACTGGGTCACTACCATGTTGTATTATCATAAGACAGCAAATTTCGTTATCTCAAATGAAAACAGAGCATCGACGGGAAGAACCAGTTTATGCTTCTCCACAGTTATGGCAACCTACCGTAGACGAGGCATTTTGCCGGCGATCTTTAAAATTTAACTAGATGTGAAATAGCCACCGTTATCGACATTGCTGGAGAGTTTATTTGATTTGTCT